CGTCAGTATGCCTGCTGTGGGCTCAGGCTCTCGCTCCCTGCCCTGCTGCCTCTCCCCAGAGCCTCTGTGGCCCAGTGGGTGGAGCTGGTGCAGCAGGGCAGAGCGGGGCCAGGCAAAGAAGCTCCTTGCCACTGCAAGCCCTGCACTGTCATGGCAAAGTGCCCCCTGCCTGCCCAGCAGCAGTGGCGGTAGTGGCACGGAGCTGATCCCCTCACTGCTGCCAGGCATGGGGCTTGAAGTGGCAAGGAGCTTCCCCATCCCACCCCGCTCTGCCGTGCCGTGTTGGGTCTTGCCTGCTAGGCCACAGAGGCCCCAGGGGAGGGCCTTAATAGCTAGCCTGCATCTGCCCCCCCAACCCTCATGGGCTCTGCTTCAGCTGTGCTGCCTGAGGGGGAGGGGAAGGGGGAGCTGGGCTCCACTGTGCTCAGTCACAACAGCTGCCACCTCCCACAGGCAGCAACCAGGGTTTGGGCCCAGCTGCAGGGGTGGCAGTAGGCTGCAGACCTGGGTCCCTGGCCCCACAGCTGTAGCAGCTGGGGCCCTTCTGCCAGGGCTGGCGGGGGCTGTAGGTAGGGAGTGAGAGGCACTAGCAGGGCCACAATGCTTTGGTTAGGGAGTAAGGGGCTCTGGGAGAGCCCCAGGGGCCGTGGATGGGGAGTGATGGGCCTAGACCTGTGTCCTCATGAGCTACAGGGGCCAGGGGAAACTCTGATTTTCCATGATAAAAAACTGAAAATCAGATACCAAAATATAAAGGTACTTAGAATTTATTGTATTAGAGATTGAGGCACAGGTAGGCTGACAAATTGCTTTAAAATTGTAAATATATAAATAAAACATCGTGTTCTTACATTATTAGTGGTTTTTCATTTTAATCATGAATTTGGGGCTTTTAAATCAGAGAATTTATGAGTTTTTAAATCAAGAATACAAGGCTCTCTGGTGATTAGAAATAGCCAGCATGGATTTACCAAGGGCAAGTGATGCCTAACCAACATGATTACCTTTTATGATTAGATGATTGGCTCTGTGGATGTGGGAAGAACAGTGGATGTGATATACCCTGGCTTTAACAAGGCTTTTGGTATGGTCTCCCACAACATTTTCACAAGCAAGCTAAAGAAGTATGTCCTGGATGAATGGACTGTAAGGTGGATAAAAAACTAGCTGGAACATCATGCTCAAAAACTACTAATCAATGGCTTGATGTCCAGTAGGCAGCCAGTATCAAGTGGAGTTCCCCAGAGGTTGGTTCTGGGGCAGTTTTGTTCAATATCTTCCTCGGTGACCCAGAAGATAGGATGGAGTGCACCCTCAGCAAGTTTGCAGATAACAGCAAGCTAGGAAGAGTAGTAGATACGCTGGAGGGAAGGACTAGGATTCAGAGACCTATCCAAATTGGAGGATGGAACCAAAAGAAACCTCATAAGGTTCAATAAGGACAAGTGTCAAGTCCTGCACTGAGGACAGAAGACTCCCATGCATTAGTACAGGCTGCTGGGGACTAACTGGCTGGGAAGCAGCTCTACTCTACAGAAAGTGACCCAGGCGTTATAGTGGACAATAAGCTGAATATGAGCCAACAGTGTGCCCTTGTTGCCAAGAAGGCAAAGAAAGAGCATCTTGGGCTGCATTAGTAGGAGTGTTGCTATCAGATCAAGGGAAGTGATTATTCCCCTCTATTCAGCACTGGTGAGGCCGTATCTGGAGTACTGTGTCCAGTTTTGGGCCCCCCACTACAGAAAAGATGTGGACAAATTGGAGAGAGTCCAGCAGAGGGCAGCAAAAATGGTTAGAGGGCTGGGGGACCTCACGTGTAAGGGCAGGCCGAAGGAACTGGGCTTATTTAGTCTGTACAAGAGAAGACTGAGGGGAGAGTTAATTTCAGCCTTCAACTACCTGAAGGGTAGTTCCACAGAGGATGGAGCAAAACTTGTTCTCAGTGGTGTGACAGATGAAAAGGAGCAATGGTTTCAAGTTGCAGCACGCAAAGTTTAGTTTAGATATTAGGAAAAACTTTTTCATTTGGAGGGTAGTAAAACACTGGAACAAGTTACCTAGGGAGGTGGTGGAACTTCTATCCTTGGAGGTTTTTAAGATCAGGGTAGACAAAACTTTGGCTGAGATAACATAGTTGGGAATGGTTCTGCCTTGAGCAGAGAGTTGAACTAAATGACTTCCTGAGGTCCCTTCCAATACTCATTTTCTATTATGGTAACAAGCAGTGGACACTGCCTCCCTAATAGCTTAGTGCAGCAGTGTCCAACTCATCTAGCTCCTCAGGTCAGGTGAGTAGCGTGGGACCAATCTGAAGGCTGGATCCAAGAACAGAGCTGTCACCTGGCCTGAACAGTTTCAATTTGGTGACAGCAATGTTAACTGCTGAGATTCCCAGAACCATGGCATTTGCTAACACTCCTTCTTCCAAGTTTCCACCCCAACAGGCAGTCCCGCAGTTCTATGCTCTGGACTCAGTCTACAAGGTTTCCCATATATCTGGAGATCTGACAGCAGGATGATGGGCAGAAGCATTAATTGCTGCATCTTTGGAAGTCAGGACAATTAACACTGCCACCGCTTGCAAGGCCACCATATTTCTGGACCCAAGGCAGAGGCCCACAGGCTGTAGAACATGGCTCCACACGCCGAATTCAGACCGTGGACCATAGGTTCGTCACCTCTGGCTTAGTGCAACAAGATGGAGACAACTGAAGAGTAATTTATATTTTTATTAAATGACTAGAAACCACAAGCTATGTTTCTTAATGATTTAAACTCACAGAAAGTGAAATAACTAATACCTTTTCTCTGTCAAATTAACTGATAGCACAGAACCTTTACTCTGCAAATCAAAATATAATCCTAAAGACTTAAGTTTCAAAATGATATCAGGTTGTATGCAAATAGCCTCACTGATTTTCTTTTTCGGACTGGAGAGCATTCCGGCATAGTTTACCACTCAAGTGAACAGTCTCAGGTTCCAGAGATATTACATTCTAAAAGATAGAGGCACAAAACACAGAAGATACTGGCTAGTCCAGAAAATGGAACAACTTAGTTTTTCCTTGGTCTGAGTATGGACAGAACTCACTCCAGATGTTACCTGGAGTGAGTTCTGGCCTAGGTTGTTTTAAAGAGGGACTGGAGAGAGGGAAATTGCTTGGCAGACTGAGATAGGGAGTGTTCCCCATAAAAGGAAAGCATGCAAAGGCAGACAGAAAGGGGAGTGGGAGGGAATGATTAGTGCAGTAATACTGAAGTGAAAGGACCAAGAAGGGGCACTCAGAGAAATCAAGCAATAGATATAAATTGGGATGGAACACCGTGGTGCTTTTCTGGCTAGAGAATTTTCCGGTGAAATCAAAAAGGAAAAAGACAATCATATTAGGCAGAGTTTTACCAGTTTAGATGTGCATGTTCATCTGGACACATCCCATGAGAACATGTGGTTTACAGCTCTGCAGACCACATGCACCACAGATACAGGCATTTGCTGCGCTGTTAATGTGCACCGGGAGTTGACACCGGGAGTGTCAAAATTCCTGTGTCAAAAACATTAAAAAGGCACCAGAAAAAAGTGGGGCAGCGTACATGGCAGCAGCGTGCACCACTGGAAATCAGAGCTTGGCCAGTCAGAGCCACACTCCAGCTACCAGCCAGGCTCTGTGTGCCTGAATTGCTGCCACTGGAGCCCCAGGAGGCCCCCAGAATCCTGGGTACGGCTGCTGGGGCCAGCCCAGATGCTGGCCCCTGCATCCCCTATCCCAACTGGGGCAATTTGTTGCAGGCCAGAGCATGTGTGCCGGGGCGTTCCACAGGGACTACTAGTAGTGGCACAAATGTGTGGCAATGAACGTTTCTCACTCGTGGGGACATGCCTATGGGGAGCAATGAGCAAGTAAATGAGATAAAAGAACTTGTAATAGTCAAGACGAGGGGAATAAAACTAGAATAACTTAATATTAAACTAAACATGACACAAAACTTCTCCCAAAGCCCCTCTTGCTGCGTAGGTCAGAAAACAAGAGTAGTGTTTCCCCAGTTCACCCCACCCTATTGCTGTCCTGACCAGACCAACCTGTTCTCAGATCCTTCCATGCATTTTCCAACTGATCTCAGGGTCTGACTCCTATTTCTTTAAACTCCTGTATAAGTTGCAAAAGGCCCTGGGATTCAACTTAGCCCCAACACCCAAGGCAGTAAATATTCTACCCTTCACTCACATGAGACACAGCCCTGCCCTTGGGCAGCCCCTTAGCCTGAAGTCAAGTAAAAGGTAGAGCAGATTGCCATTTTAGACTGATGAAAGAGATACAGATGAATGTATCTATATATAGAGATGTACCTATCTCTCTGCATCTCTGGCCCTGCTGGCATAGGCCTTGTGATGTGCTTAGAGGATTATGCACTTAGGCCCAACAAGGAAGAACTATAAGCCTGCCTTAGTAAGGAGGTCTCTGAGGACATAAACTGATTTCCTCTAAAGAGAAAACAAGGTTGGGTGTGAATTTGTAGGCTTAAAATGAATGCACCAAAGGGGGACACCAAGCAGAGTGCACTGGACAGCACCCACGGCCCTCAAACACACCCGAGGAGCCAGTAGACACTTCCCAGGGAAACTGCCCAGAGGCGTGAGTGGAGGAGTGCCAGGAAAGCAGCCCCCACCCGCCCAGCTCCTCTGGCCTGGCCAGAGCCGCCTTCCCGGCCACCAGATGAGCAGCCAAGCCAGAGGCAGGAGACGGCAGACCCGGAGGACAGCGAGTGAGGCAGGAGACTGGGCAAGGCGGCCTGTGCTATGGAGGAACCCGGCCAGGGCAGCTCCTACATAGGCAGGCACAGGACACGGGGAGGCCGCAGGTTTCGCGGGCTGAAGCTCCCCTCGCCGGCGCCAGGCAAGTGTGCCCTCTGCCCACGGGTCGCACGGACTTCCCGGCTTTCTCGGGTCCGTGGCCCTTCCCTTTGGCCAAAGGACTCCCCCGAGGATCCCTGCGCGGCCTCACCTTCAACGGCGTCCCCAGGAAGAAGTCCCGGGCGCCGCGGCGGCGGGGGACCGCGGTGCGCAGTTGCCTGGCCCCGGCCGGGACCGCGGCGCGCGCCGCCCGCAGCAAGTGTAGGTTCATGCTGTGACAGAGCGCTGCGGCCGGTTGACGCGGATTGATGACGCCATCGATCCGCGCCGAGACGTGCGATGACTGCGCCGCGTGGGGTAGGGGCGGTGCCTCACGAGCTGCTGCAAGGCTGAAGACTGCTGGCTGCAGCCAACGGCCGCTTCACCGGGGAGACGGAAGTCGGTATTAACCGCCCCTGCTGCTACCTTGCGGGGCCTGGCCGAGCGCCGGCGCTTACGTGCCAGCGGCAAGTGTGGTTGGCAGTAAAAGCCTGGCGAGCGGCCCGTAACGCACGAGCGGGTCGGGGCTTGCGGCCTGGCGACTCGCCTGCGGGGCGGCACCTTACCCAGCGAGTCCGGCCCTGGGCGCATGACCTTGACTTGTCTTAACTGCCCCCAGGCCACAGGCAGGTTTGTCAGCGTCCAGCCGCGCTGACTGTCCGGAAGGGGCAGGTTAGGGGAACCCGACTTTCTTCATAAACCTTGGGGGTTATGCCCCTTCTTAAATAAGAATGACTTAAGTCATTCGTGTGGATAGTACTAGTATCACTAGCCCTCTGGTATAAATGCTTGGCTTTACTGCTGTTCTTCTTGGGGGGGTGTTTCTTTGACTGCTCTGTTACATAATAATTTACAACTGCAGAGCAGTTTCTTCAAACAGGTTTTTGCTGCCTTGCATCAGGGTTGCACAGCTAGCAGCTGGAAATCTTTACGTCCACCTTCATTCCGTTACTCTCAGTAGTGCAGCTCATCTGCGTTCTCAATGCTGTAAGCAAAACGGCCTCTCTGCTGCCAATTTCCTCAAACACAGGTCAAACATTTACTTGGGACAGTTTTGCATGATCATACCTTTTCAGTTCACATAGGGGAGCCTTTGTGAAAGTGCAAAAAATGTCAGTGAAATCGCTGACTGATTATCATCAGGTCCATTTTGCAACAACCTTGGTAAGAAGAGATGTTCACATGAGTACCAAATTATCTGAGTCTTTTCTTTGCCTTCAGGTGTCACATCAGTTATGAACCAAGCTTTGCCATCCCTGTCTATCCTGGAGCCCTCTTTACATGTACTCTGGGTTAAGTTTAGTAAGTTTACCCTCTGGCTAGGGACAGACATTACACACAAACCAGTTTAAGTAATCAAACTGGTTTAAACCTGTAACAGAATGTAAGTTCAGTGCACATAAACCAGTTTGAAAATGGCTGAAACTGGTTTAAGATAAACCTAGTTGAATGTAGCATCAAACTTAACTGATTTGGGTCAAACCAGTTTATGCAATGCCTGTCCCAGACCCCTTCCTGCTTTAACTTAAACCAGAGTCCCCCAGCATCCCACATACTTTGCAACCCTAGGCAGCACTTTCAGCTCCACAGCAGAGCTGCCCCCCCCCCGCTCCCTGGCTGGAGCTCCAGCAGAGACTTGCAGGCACAGCAGCATCTACCTGGCTTCTCCCTGCCCCAGTGGCGATGCATATGGGGTGCATGGGGGTGCATATGCACCCCCTGAGAGCACCAGTGCACCCCCTGACTGGCTGTGGTTGGTGCTTAGGCCCCCCTGCAAGCACTGGCTGGGGAGTGGGAGCACTGTGGCACTCCCAGGAGCAGCCGGAGCCACTTCCGGAAGTGACTCCGGCAATCGGCTGCAGGAGAACCAGTTGGTGGGATCGGTGGCAGGGGGACACCCCCCTGGTCACTGACTGGTTGCTTGGGGTGTGGGGGAGAGACATGCCACCTCTGACTCAGGCGGCACCAGTTGCCTATGCCCTGTCCCCCCCCCAGCTCAAGCAGGGATCCCTCCCTCCCCTCTCCCATAGCACAGACCATAACCAGCATGTGGTCTGCAAGCTAATGCTGAGAGGTGTCTGTGTAAGGCAGACAGGACAGTGTCTGCGTATGGCTTTTTGGGGCTAATCAACAGGTAGCTGGTAATGTCCCTCCATTCCTTTCTTGTTTAAGAAGAGCTTAAAGTAACGAGACTTTTGTTTTGCTGAGGGGCTGATAAATGCTGTGCAACTCCCTGCTGTGTAAGTAAATGCTGTGTAACTCCCTGCTGGCTCCATTGTTGGTCAGAGGAGCAGCAAGGGTGGGGCTTGTCCCGCCAGGGTCTGGCTATGCCCCCCTACACACACACACTTCAGCTCAGCACCATGGAAGGGAAGGGAGGACTGTTCTAGTGCCCCCTGAAATTCTAGCCTGAGCCACTGAAGGCATGTGCCAGCATTTCGTCAGTCCAGAAGGGATGTCTGTACGGTTACAAACCAGTTCAACCTAGTCAGGTTAGACTAACCTGCAAAGATTGAATCAATTCAGGCTCGGGCTTTTTGAATGTCTGTCCCAAGCCTCTGAGTACTGTTTAGCAGAGGGATTCTTTTGACCAGTCTCTTGTCCTCCACGTATCTGTGTCTGATGTTTTGAGTTCATAATACGTTCATAATACATATCTTAAATATTTCTTTCCCTAGCAAAATATTAACGATTTAACATTTATGAATCATCAACACATGAAGAATGATTAAAATTAAAAATGCCTTATTCCACTATATTTTAGAACTTAAGACATAAGGTTAACTTAAGAATAATGTTAGTATTTTAATATATTACATTATTTAGACTGTTAAAAAGTGAGTTTCCTCTGGAATTTAAAACTGTGATTTGAAAGAGCTCATTCAGTTTCTTGCCCTCTGATCACATCCCACCCCAGACACTGGTTACAAGAGCTGAAGTACTGTGCTCCTGTGAGCTGTGCTTCCAGGGACAGCCTATTGATGGCTGCTCTTGAACTTTGGTATTGGTGGCTGTAGAAAAGCCATCAGTACTTGGTAATATTCAGTAGCTCAATAGTTGGGGAAAAACTTCATGGAAAACCATCATCAACCTCTGCCCTTTTCTGCCCAGGGCTTCTCAGGGATGAGCAAAATGGGAATGGAAGAGAGAGTGGGGTGTGACTATGTTTCCTGCATCCTGTACAGTCATTCACATTAGAGAAGGCAAAATGCTACTGTTTTCGTTGGGTGTGTTAAAGCTCGGATTGGGCATGTAACTAGTTAAGCAATTAAACCAATCCCCATAGAGATAGAAGTATATTTAATTGTAGTGGACCACTCTCAGCAGGGTGTTCAACTACAGCCTGGCGCTACCCCACCTCTGAAGTAATTAATTAGTTAATCAAGGACACAACAACAGCGAGGAGAAGTAACAACTAAAACTGTACTGAACAGCAACGACAGCCTGTCAGCTGCACTACTCACACACAGAGGGGATGTTGGTCACCCCAGCCCTCAACCATTCACTCACGCAACAAACCACTGTGGGGTTTGGCGCAGACTCTGGTACATTTGCAGACACAGCCCCAGACACATGCTCACCATACAGTCTTTCACTCACAAACTGCCTCCTCAGAATCACTCTCTTGGCTCCACATTGGTCTTTGGCTGCTGGTCTTTGGTGTAGCTCTCTGTGTGAGGGAGTAGTACACCTCCTTAGAGGCCAACATTGGCTCCAGAGAAGAACAACTTGAAACACTCTGGGTCAAATGGGGTGGGGGGAGCAGCAAGAGAGAACTGACTGTAGGTGTGTACTACAGACCACCAAATCAAAGGGAGGAACTTGATCTAGCATTGTCCATAAACTGACTGAGGCCACACGTGCACGGAACATGGTCATCATGGGTGATTTTGATTAACCAGACATCTCTTGGGAGGTGTAACAGGGAGCTAACAAACCCTGTTGCTAAGAGCAGAGAGAGAACGGCGAGGAGCCTAAGAGTGAAGACGAGCAGGTAACATCATCTGGTGAGACTATGGTTGGGAGAAGAGACTCACCTGTAATCAATAAGGACAAGCACTCTGAAACGAGGGAGCAGAGAGAAAAGGAAACAGCTGCAAAAGGTCAGCCCCTGGAAGGGGATGTGAGAGACAAAGAAGTTTGGGGAATCTCCCTGTGCAGAGGCACAGGACGGGGAGTGCCTTGCCCCAGTGAGCAAAGACACTGTCAGAGAGGTGGTGCTTACCTAAATACTTACCAGAAGGGACCACGGTGTCTCTATGGAGCAGAGGGTTGTGACTGATCCTTCCTAGAAGAGAAAGAGAGCTTCTGAGGGAGGCTCCATAGAGGCTAATCACCTAATGTATAGAGACTGTGTGTATCCGGGGCTTCAGTGTAATCACAGTGTTACCAAAAAAATGAGTTAAGATAAAAACCTCAGTGACACTTCGTTGTAGCTAATCTTTGTTTATTCTATCGAGGCATGGCAGGAAAGTGCCCAAATGAAGCAGGAGCCCATAGGAAACCTCTTATAACAGGAGGAACACTTGGCCAAGTTGGATCGGTTTCATTCCTTTCTGATCTGCATCAAAGAGCTTTTTTTGACTCAGGAGGTGTGAGGGCCAATCAGAGGTAGTGCTCTTCTAGACAAACCAGATAGCAGGATTGAAGTTTTTGACTTCAAAAATGCAAATTTCTACAAGCTCAGTTCACTAGTAAGGGAAGTGCTGCAGGACCAGGGACCAAAGGCAAAAGGAGTATATGAAGATTGGTCCTCCCACAAGGACACAATCCTTAAAGCACAAAGGACGTCCATTCCCATGTGGAGGAAAGGTAGCAAAAGAGAAGCCTGCTAAAAAGGGAAATCATGGTCCTCTTAAGAAAGAAGAAAGAGGCGTACAAACAATGGAAACTTGGGGCATGTCCCAAGGAGTACTATACAACAATGGCTTGCATTTGTAGGGAACAGATTAGACGGGCTAGGTGGCAACTGAACTCAAATTAGCAAAGGGGATCAAGGACAATAAGTCCTTTTTTAGGTATGTAGGGAACAGGAAGACAACAAATGGGAGTGTGGGGCCCCTGCTCAACAACTCAGAACAACTGGTTACTGGTGCTCAGGAGAAAACTGAACTCCTGAAGGACTACTTTGCCTCTGTCTTTCACAGGGCCAAGGAGAAAAACATGCCAGATAGGGTACGGAACAAGCAGTGCAGGAATGACCACCTTCCTACTATTGCCAAAGAACTGGTGTGTGACCAATTAAAA